CTAAGAGGAATGGGACAACTTAAACCGGGACATCACTGTTATGTGTTCCATGATTATATTGTCCAACCCTTGGTTTTGTAGAAATTCGCACTACATAATATGCATTACATTATTGCTGTATGGCTTTCTATGTCTGGTGTGCTTTAGCTCATTGGGTTGAACTGAAATATAGGGAAGAGGCACTGACTGAACATCTTAAAGAAACATCTGCTCCCAAACCATAGATTTTGTGTCTTGTTTAAGTAAGACAATAATTCTGCTCATATATTATAAAATAAAATGCGAAGTACATTAAACACAGCAAGCTCGAGAGGTTTAAAAAATACAGATTCTGAACATCCTAAGCACTTGGGCCTCTATGTTTCCTAGTATATGTTCATAGCCTTGTCCAATTCCTGCTGGTGATAGACACAGTCACATTTGGGAAGTAATGGATTAGAAAAACAACTGTAACTGTAATCTATTATGGTACATGCAAAAATACTGAAAATTGATTATAGATTCCTTAGAATTTTTATTACCTCTACATTAAAAAGAATAAGTGTGCTAAATTGTTATGACGCGTTTTCTGTAAGGTGTCAGTTTCTCAAACTAATGTATTTGTCAGTTGTGCACCAGGGCCTCCCACTCCTCATTCCATTCTGCCTACAACAGTCATTAACAACATTAACAATGTCTACACGGTAATCATGATTAATTGAATGTTATTTGAATGCACACAATATGTGCTTTTCTTTCCAAACAAGGACTAAGGTAGTGTAACTTGCATAATGTAATACTGACTACAGACCCAAGCACCCTACCCCTCAGCCACTAAATTGGAGCTCTCCCCAGACATCGCCCCTTTCAGATTGTCTATCGCGGAGCTATCTTCTGCACTCAGCAGGGTGAACGGACGCAAGGCGGTTGGTCCTGACGGTGTCCCTGGCGTGTGCTCAGAGCATGTGCTAGGCAGCTGGCTGTCACTGACATTTTCAACCTTTTTTAATTTTGTCCCAACGTGCATGCTTCAAGACCACAACCATTGTGCCAGTGCTGAAGTAGTCGACTGCGTCATGCCCAAATTACTTTTGACCTGTTGACCTCATCCCAACAATCATGGAGTGCTTTGAAAGACTTGTATTGGCTCACCTTAAGTCCTCCTTCCCACCAACTCTGGACCCACATCAGTTCCTATCGCCCTAACAGGTCTACTGAGGACGCCATCTCCACTACTGTCCACTCTGCCCTGACCCACCTGGACAAAACTAACACCTATGTGAGGATGCTGTTCATAGAATTCAGCTCAGCATTCAATACAGTCATACCCTCTAGGTTTCTCAGTCTGTCATGTTGGACAACCTGATAACCAGATAACAACCTGGCCATCAATACCAAGAAAACCAAAGAACTGATTGTGGATTACCACAGTAGACAAACAGCTGTAGGCAGCCTACAAGGCCCAGTTCTTAGATAACAACCTGGCCATGAGAAAACCAAATGGAATTGTGTTACAGGAAGACAAAGCTGTATACATGCCTCAGTTCTTAAATTCCTGGGTGTCCACATCACCACCAAACCCATCCTGGTCCCTCAACACCACAACCCGGTCAGAAACACCCCAACAGCTCCTGTATTCATTTTAAGGATGCTGAAGGCCCACCTATCTACTAAAATCTTTGATAAATTTACTGCTGCACGGTCGAGGCATTCTAACCAACTGTGCCACAGTCTGGTTCAACGGTTGCTCTGCAGCGACTGTAAGTCCCTGCAGCAGGAGGTGAAAACCCAGATACATCATTGGTGCCCAGCTCCTCGCCATCAAAGACATCAAGCACAAGCGCTGTTTGCAGAGAGCGCGTGGCATTATCAGGGATCCCTCACACCCGAGCCATAAACTGTGTGCCCCCCTTGCCATCTGGCAAGCGTTACAGATCTCTACTCACCCACACCAGCAGGCTCAGGAACAGTTTCTTCCCTACTGCAGGTAACAAACTCTGAAACCTTTCGGTAACCTTGCACTCACACTGCTACCTAATTTATTATTTTATGTACAGTTGTACCCCCATTGATACCTCTTGCCTACATGCTGATAACTTATTTATTTGATCTGCCATTTGTACTACACTTGTTATTTGTCGCCCTGCACACTGCTAGCCTATTTATTATATTTGCCTTTTGCACAATGCTTATAGTTTGTACTATCTGTTTACCTTGTGCAGATGTTCTCGCTGGTGTGCCCTCTGCATATTTGCAATTTGCTACATTGTTGAACTGAATACCTGCACGTTTACTTATTCATGTCAATGGCACATACTGACACTATACTTCATATCTTTTTGCACTGTTCTTTTGCACTTCTGGTTGGATGCAATCTGCATTTTGTTGTATTGTCCAATGACAATAAAGTTGAATATAATCTAAAAAAAGGGCAGTACACATAGGGTCTAGCATCAATTGAGAAAGGTTGATGAAATTAGGTTGACTAAATCAGTCAGTGTCTCCTCAGGGAACTCCAGCTACCAAAATTGAATGATAGCAAGCATATAGTATTGTAACAATATTATATAGCTGACCTGAATAAAATGCTCTCTATAGATTTAGAGTAGAAACATTATTTTTGTAACTAAAAGAGTGGGATCTTTATAGAATCACAGTGGTTTCATTAAAACCCTCGTGTCGTCCTGGGGTCATTCTGACCCCAAATTAAAACTTTTGCCGAAAAATATGTTTTTTATTCTTCAATTGGTCTGAAAATAAAGGTAGTTGTTTAATACTATGCTCTTTATGATTCAAACAAATTTGTAGTAATTTGATTGAAATCTGGGTGTTTTACTAAATGTAATAACTTCTGTTGTCCTCTGGGGTCAAAAAGACCCCGCAGCACCAGGTAGTCCGATGGAGCAAATTGTCACACCATACTGCTTGGCAAAACAACTTTGATCATGTATGTTTGATGTGTGGGGTCAAGCAATGGTGACAACAACTCAAAATCAAACAGGTATTTTATCACAGGTGTTTGCGGCATTTCACATGTTAGTCTGAGAGAGACAGGCAGCACAATGAGGACACAAGAGTTTTATAATGCACAAGAGGCTTGCAAGATAATTTTTGATACAAAAGAAAATAATGACCAGGAGGACAATGCTGCATATAATGAGGATGAATCAACTGATGAAGAGGGTTCAGGGTCAGAAGAGGAGGAACATAATGATGAGGTGATAGATCCAACATACAGACCACATGCTACTTCTTCCTCTAAAGAAGCCCCCACATCTAATGCTGCAGAAATGGAAGATGATTATGAATTTTAGGAAATGGATGAATGTGATGATCAGGAAGAATCTGAAGCTGGTATGGAAAAAGTGTCAGAAATAGAGCACTGCACCTATTATGATGAAGAATCAACAAATGAGGTAGAATCTGAGGAATCCTTTGAGCATTTTGGAATAATGCAAACATTGTCCATTTTCTCTTATGGCGCTTTTCCACTGCACAGAACCAGCTCACCTCAGCTTGACTCGACACAGCTTTTTTGGTTTTCCACTGGGTAAAAGTTGTACCTGTACCTGCTTCCAGGTACTTTTTTTCGTACCACCTCAGGCGAGGTTCTGAGCGAGCTGAGGCGATACTAAAATGTGACGTGAAAACACGGCAGACTGCTGATTGGTCAGAGAATCGTCACTATTCACTGCATCATCATTGCACGCGCCAGATGTAGTATCCTGAGTAATCCCACCATATATATATATAAATAGTTTAGCCAGAGATTGCGTGAGAGCTGTACATATTATCCATTACAAATACTATGGCAAACCGAAAGAATGCGCCGTGAGAAACAGCCACATCTCGCGGATCAAACACAGTATACACTCGATTTCCTCCATTGTCTTATGTGTGTGTGGGTAGCGAGTGTTGGTAGGAGGACGCGGACCTGAATGAAACACGCTTCTCTTGCCCGGTAGATTATATAAGTAGAAAATTCTAACAGGGCGCATGTAATACGTCCGCACTCCATTCATACTACCCGGATTCATACTATATAGAACGTACTTTTTAAACGGTCGCAAAGTACGTTCTTATTTAAATGTAGTACATACTCAACATAGTACGCGATTTCGGACGCAGCCTGTGTGTGTCGCCGCGTCGCGTAGAAGATTACGTCACAGCATTTTCCTGCCGGGTCGCTATGACGACCGGGTACTATTGCGCAGGTACTATCTGCATTGGAAAACGGAGCGAAAGCGAGCGGAGCCGAGTCCGGCCAAGTCGAGTCGAGCTGGTTCTTTGTAGTGGAAAAGCGCCATTAGTGTGTAAGAATAGCTGAGGACAATGGAATAGTACTGTATGAACATGGTCATCATCCAATGGAGATGTTAACATTTTCACACCACATGTTGTCATGTTTGTTTGGAAAATTGAAAAAGCTTATTAGACCGAGACACTGATTGTTATTGTCTGTTTATACATGGAGATTATTTGGCAACATAGTTAATAGTAGAACTTGACAAATAAATTGTAATCAGCAATGTGGACTATGATACATTTGGGTCAAACATTTTTCTTCTCCTATCTTTTGTGTGTAGTCTCTCCTCAAGATTCTCTCACAAGTATAACCTTTATTTCCATTTTTTTCTGGATAAATAAATTATTTCATAAGATTGCTTCCTCTTATTCTTGGCTGAACAACAACACAGATAAAGGGCAAGACGCTTAGCACCCTGTGATGTAATACTTTTGATCAATTCTGGGGTCATTCTTGTGGTGTGCATTTAGATATGCATTGTGGAGAGGATGGAGGAGATTTCATATTTGTGGACAGATAAAGTTTTACCACCTGAGTCCACACTACACTACTGTGTTAGTTAACTACAAGCAGGTTTGCTTCTTATATAAAATCAATTCAAGTTCAGAATATCCTTACTCCTGACCTCAATACACCAGTGTAATCTCAATAGGCTTTTGGTGAAATTGATGAGCAGTTTTGTTTTACAAAAGAAGGTGACTGATATGGTAACCTGGGGAGCAGCTGGGTTTTGAACCCAGAACTTCATAAACACAAAGCATGCACTGTACCACTGAGCTACCAACTGCTCCACTTGACTGTAAGGGCCTAAAGCAGGCTACACGGAGGCCTCTGGGCGCACCAGCAATCCCCCTAGGCAATGTGAATCATGCAGGCAACCTATTCAGATTCTTACACCCCAACTGACAGCTACACCAGATTGACAGTCATGCTATTCAGAATCTGAATTAGCTTTTCACGATGAAATTGCTTTGAAATGTTAGTACATAACAGCGCAGAAGTAAAAAATATACAAAATAAAACATATACAAAATAAAACATAAATAACCATGCAATAACCAAACCAGCACCTGGAGAGTTGATCCCTGTCTAGGTTCTAGCACCTGGAGAGTTGAGCCCTGTCTGGGTTACTGAACCTGGAGAGTTGAGCCCTGTCTGGGTTACTGAACCTGGAGAGTTGAGCCCTGTCTGGGTTACTGAACCTGGAGAGTTGGTTGAGCCCTGTCTGGGTTACTGAACCTGGAGAGTTGGTTGAGCCCTGTCTGGGTTACTGAACCTGGAGAGTTGGTTGAGCCCTGTCTGGGTTACTGAACCTGGAGAGTTGGTTGAGCCCTGTCTGGGTTACTGAACCTGGAGAGTTGGTTGAGCCCTGTCTGGGTTACTGAACCTGGAGAGTTGGTTGAGCCCTGTCTGGGTTACTGAACCTGGAGAGTTGGTTGAGCCCTGTCTGGGTTACTGAACCTGGAGAGTTGGTTGAGCCCTGTCTGGGTTACTGAACCTGGAGAGTTGGTTGAGCCCTGTCTGGGTTACTGAACCTGGAGAGTTGGTTGAGCCCTGTCTGGGTTACTGAACCTGGAGAGGTCCAAGTCGACCCGGATATGTGTGTCACATTATAATAGCAGTGAGTGTGCCACTGAACAGAGGAAGGGAACAAGTCTCTGATGGGATTAAGGGATTGTCCCAACCAGGTGGACAGTATGAATCGTTTGGAAATCATGTATAACAGAACATGTCGCAACTGTCAGAATTTGAACTGAAATGCTGAAACTTAAAAGTGCTTGTTTGTGTCTGGCTTTCCCGGAAACATCCAACCCACAATATGTCTCACCAAATCAAATCCCAGGTGGCCCCGAGGCAATTCCGAAAATTGGACAAAATGGAAGTCACATCGTTATAAGCAAAGGGTGTGGGGGGCAAGTAACAACCGAACCAAGACTAATCTGGATGGTTTGCGTCCGGGGTGATTTTAGGACCAGACCTTTGAGAGCCTGAGCCCCTAATGAGAATATTTCCCAACAATAACAATCATTTGTCAAGCCTTTTGAACCTGTACTTCTTTCTCCTCTGAGGCTGTCACTAACAGACAAGTTCGCAAACTCTTACTACTAAAATATTTCAGAAAATAAAATAATGAATACAAATTATCATTTTTTGTATTTGTTATTATAATTTTTAGGGCTGCTGAGATAAAATGTGCATCTGCTTGAGCACCTCTAAAAAGAGTCTAAAATCGTCACTGCATTAAAACATATTGGTTAACCAAAGTATAGATTCTATTGTATTCACTACTATAGACCAAAGCGTAACTACTAACAGTGTGTAACAGATGTAGCGAGCTAGCTGATAAGTCAACGGTGTCTTTTACATTTCAGTTATTGTGCAAGGATATCTAAACAACGTTGCATTTAATGAAGTTAAATACTAGTCAAAACTTTGTTAATTCACTAGACATTGGTCATAATCAAAACTTTGTTAACTAATAGGTTTACTATCTATCTCTCTGTTCTAACTTACCAGAAGTCCACATTGTTGCCTATCTGCATGAATCTGTCCTGTCAGACCCATTTTTGCTGTTAGTTTCTGTAGGCTAGCTGTCTCAAGCCACAGAAGTAGCTAAAGTAAACCAAAATATTAGCTATACATAAGCCTAGCAACAGCCAGTAGCGCTTCCAGCAGTTTTCCTCCTAGGTCCTAGTGCCCGCCCTGTAAGGAATTTGAGATGCATATGAACGGTTGATGAAAAAAAGACATCACATAGAAAATATACTGACTGATATACAGATTTTTAGGGGGGGGGTTAAATGTCATTCACAGCTTGCCTTAGGCAGAGCTTTTTGCTTGGACCATCACTCAGATATATCACCAAGAAGGCTGTTTGATGTTTACCGGTACCGGTGGCTTACACAATGAAGTGTAAATTTGCATTTAAAAAAATCATAATATATTATCCTTACGTATATATTTTCAGCGCTATTGTTAGCGCTCCAATAGACTACACACAATGTACATCTTTGTATAGAAAACATTTTTGATATTTTCTTTACGTAATATTGTTTATGTATCAAATGTTATCAATTGTCTATTGTTTTGGTAGTCTATTAGTCTATTAAAAAGTAAAATAGTGTTGACTGTGAAGCGTACATGAGTTTGTGGTTTACTTCCCTGATGCCGCCTCGTCCCAGACATTACGCAGAAGCGACAGGTTGCTATTCATGTCATATCATTCTTGTTAAGTCAATATTGTCTACAATTCGTCCAAATTAATTTGGTTTATTTTAAAATCATCACTCCTTGTAATATCAATGTGATACATCATGTCATATTTTGGTCATCAATATTAAATTTTGCCATTTCAAATAATATGCCTGGAACTTTTTGGTTTCTCTGATTTATACGCCACCTGGTGACAGAGGAGAATATTAAAATACACTCAAAATGGCAGACAGCACGTTAGCACGTTATTTTGGCAAAATAGCTTTAAATTTGCTTTTCCGATGAATAAAGCATGCATATCAAGGAGCATTCCTAAAAGGAGCTTCCTGTCAGTTAATCAAGTGCCGCAAATATTTTTTGTCACAAAGTGGAAAAAGCTTCAGTCTTTCTGCGCTAGTGTTGCAGGAATTATTTTCAGCAAGCATTTTCTGTTTTCAAAAACAGACAGAGAACTTAAACAGAGAACAGTTGTAAACACAGTATTCAATTCTTTTAATTAATATTTTTATTTTCTATTAATGTTTTGGAATCACTCAGAACTCAAACACCCGTTTGCTAAACTGTCCAGATTGCACTCTTTTAAAGACCCAGTTAATCTTATTAGCCAGTAGCCATCTTTTGGCCTTTGAAAGAATAATTCCCAGCCCTGAACTTAATACTTTGTATGCTGTAAATGCTTTTGATTCTCCGGGCATCTTTATTTACATAGATAATGGCATGCTATTCCATCTTCTGAGCCCTGAGGCCTATCAAACACAAGTGCTCTGAGTCTTTTCACAGGAATTCCAGGCATACAATCGATTCCTATACTTATAATAACCTACGTAAACGATCTGTGAATGAGAGCTGCCAGTCTTTCCTATTGTCTTCTACCATGTGCTTTTTCACGCAGTATGTTCTCAGCAGTATGCAGTATGTTCTAGCCCTAGGCTGAGTTAAATGTAAACATTGAGTCATGGCTAAATATAAAGAACTACACATTAATTGGAGTCGGTCTGATCTCTTTTCTTCCTCTTAATTCACTGGTGTGCACTGCTGCCAGTGACGGCAGTGTTTAATCTATATACTGTGTACATTAATAAAACACAAAGTTCTGACCCGGTCCTCCCTCTTCTCGTTAGCGTGCCAATCTGTGTCAGCGTGCGGAGGGACTTACGAGTACGCCATCGACGAATTCTGTTTGGAGAAATTCAAGCTGGACATGGAAGAACTGGACCAGCATCACTGGTGCAGCTGGGAGGACACCGTGGAGTGAGTATTTCATGAAGCACATAGTATGTTTTATGTGTGATTCATGTATGTTTGTAGCGTACCATGTAGTATGTTTTATGTGTGATTCATATATGTTTGTAGCATACCACGTAGCACTTTGGTAGCAGAATTCTACGGAAGGACGCAGAGCTGAAGAGAAATATAAAGCTATTTAGTGAAGACTTTGCTGAAACCAAACAATCAAAACAGCAGCCAAAAATGACAAACAAAATGAACCACACTGCAAGTTGGTAAAAACAGAACTTGAATAGGGCTCCCAATTAGAGACAATCCAGTGCAGCTGCCTCTAATTGGGAGCCAGCAAAACTCAAATGCAGAGATTCCCAGAGGGCTCCCTGCTGTCCTTCCTTGTTAGGACATCCAGGCCACCATAGAGATGCCTAGAAGCCTCCCTGTCCTTAGGTCATGACAGTCACATTATATTGTATCCTCTCATCCATGTCATTAAGGCCAGTCACAACCGGAGGGGTGTTATACCGTCTATTTAATTAGTTTTTGGAAAAATGAATACAATATTTCCAAATTGAATATGCCAGTGATAGATTTTCACTTTTCAACTATAAGTCCTCTGTTTTCTTTCTATTAGCTGATTGTTATGAAACTCTTGGAAGGTGACTTAAATTATTTTGCCAGCTACAGTATTAAAACCAACAGCATAGCAGTCAGATACTGTTAGCGTTTTATACTACAATGACTTACATAATATTAGTATAAAAACTGAAAGTTAAAGAATGGTTGGTTTATTTTGTCAGATGTTTAAATGTATTGGGCTGGATGTCTACGAACTGTTAACTCTAGCAGCAACATCTTGACTGGAAATGCTACTCCCAATATATAGTTCACTACTTTAGCCAGGTCTTTTGTCAAAAGTAGTATACTAAACAGTATACGGTATTGGGTGCTATTTGTAAAGATTTGGATAATGGAGCGGAGGGCAGAGTCTTATACAGTTCTCCCAGGAGTCATACAGGAGGCAAAGAATGATTCAATGTGCCACTTAATGTGCGCCAATACCGAGCTATGGCTGGTCATCTCTCCAATATTACATACTGCATATGAAAAATGACTGACAGGTCATCAGTCCAAGTCTATGGTCTTCTCACTGTCACCTGGGGATGCTGGGAAGTCAGGATTATTGTTTCCTGGCTACCTTCCTTGTAGCTGCTGTTTTTTTTCTCTGAGACTTAATGTTAGTCTGGTTGTGTCACATTTAGCCCACACTTGTCACCGAGCAAACAAAGACATTTGCCCTGTAGCCAGCCGCAAGGCAGACAGTCTGTGCAGTTGAATCCATACTGTCATGAAC